TTTAGTTGCTTAATATCATCTTGATTGGATTTTGGTAGGTTATATGCCTCTAGAAATTTATCCATTTCATCTAGATTTTCCAGTTGACTTGAATATAGGTTTCAAAGTACTCTCCCTGGGTTTCATTAGTATTTGTGATTATGTCCCATTTCATCTCTGATTTTATTGATTTGGGTCTTTTCCCTTTTCCATTTTGTCATGTTTGCTAAAGGTTTGTTGGTCTTGTTAAACTTTTCCAAGAGCCAACTTTTTGTTTCATTGATTCTTTGTATAGTTTTTTTCATCTCAATCTCATTGATCTTGGCCCCGATACTTACTATTTCTCTCCATCTGCTGGGTTTGGGTTTGGTTTGTTCTTGTTTTTCCAGGAGCTTAAGGTGCATAATTAGGTTATTTATTTGAGAAGTCTCTGTTTTTTTAACGTAGGCACTTGTAGCTACAAACTTTCCCCTTAGCATGGCCTTTGCTGTGTCTCACAAATTCTGGTAGATTGTGTTTTCATTTTCATTAGATTCTATGAACTTTTTGGTTTCTTCCCTTACTTCTTTGGTCACCCACTGGTCTTTAGCAGTGTATAGAGCCATAACAATAAAAACAGCATGGCACTGGCACAAAACCATACAGGAAAACCAATGGATCAGAATAGAAGACCCAGGCATAAACCCACACATCTACAGCCAACTGATTTTTGACAAAGGAGCCCAAAACAAATGATGGAGAAAAGACAGCCTCTTCAACAAATGTTGCTGAGAAGACTGGGTACTCACATGTAGAAAACAGAAATTAGGCTGGGCACCAGTGGCTCATGCCTGCCTGTAATCCTAGCTACTCAGGAGGCAGAGATCAGGTGAATTGTGGTTCGAAGCCAGCCTGGGCAAATAGTTTGTGAGACCCTATCTCGAAAAAAACCTTCACAAAAATAGGGCTGGTGGAATGGCTCAAGGTAAGGGCCCTGAGTTCAAGCCCCAGTACTGCAAAAAAAAAAAAAAAAAGTAAAATATACCCACAGTAGGGATACATTGAGAAACCACTTTGAACATCAACTTAAATATTAAGAACAAAAGACGAGACTGTAAAATAGGTACAGTATGTAGAGGAGTGTACTCGTGGGAGGGGGCAGGGTGAATGAAGAAGATTAAAGTAAGGGAATATGGTTGATGGGCCTCATATACCTATATGAAATAGAACAAAGAAACCTCTTGCAATTGCTTTAAATGGGGCGGGGACGAAGTTGAGGGGGAGAGACAATGGGGTCATGTGATGTAGCTAATATACAATATAAGCCTAATCAGAATTGTCACTACAAATTCCCTCTGTACAACAAATATATCCTAATAAATTTTTTTTAAATGTAAGAAACAAAAATAAAAACGTAAATGATGTTCTCCAATTAAAAGACAAAGGCTAGCAGATGGGATTTAAAAACAAGATCCCAAGATCCAAGTCTTTGCTATTTATAAGAACTTCAGGTCACTGACAAAGACACACAGAGACTAAAAGTGAAGGTATAGAAAATGATATTCCAAGAAATGGGATCTGAAGGCAAGCAGGAGTAGCTATACTCATGTCTGACAAAACAGACTTCAAGACAGAATTAAATAATCTATCAAGAGAACACAACAATTGTAGACACATGTGCATTGAATTTTAGTGCCTCAATTTCATAAAAACAAAAAATTACTGAACATAAATGGACAGATAGGTCCAGTTACAGTAACAGTCCTTGTTTGTGGTGATGTGTGCCTGAAATCCCAGCTACCGTGGGAAATATAAAATAGGATGATAGTGGTCCAGGATAGCTGTGGGGAGAAATGAAACCCTATCTCCAAAGTAACCAGAGCAAAAAAAGAGTGTTGGTTTGGCTCAGCAGTAGACTGCCTGCTTTGCACACTCCGTCCTGAGTTCAAATTCTAGTACTACCAAAAAAAGTAGAAGCCTCCTTTTAATTTGAATCTGCCTCACTTTTTCCTATCAACTGATAGCTTTTTATTTTTCTTCAGCATCAATCTGCTTCTTTAAGCTTTAAGGTTTCTATTTTGGCAGTGCCGGGGATCAAACCCAGGGCCTTAAGTATGCTGACTAAGTGCTCTACCATTGAGCTTCCTTTAATCTAAAAATTCTTGTCTGCATTTTCATCCCTAATCCTTTGCTTTTTTGTTTGTTGTCTGTGTTATTATCAGTTTCTCTCTATAGGAGACAAGTACCAGAACTCAATCAGAAAGAGGCATGGCCCAACATATTTAAATAAGTTGGTTTTCACTTATAATAATGGGGAAAGGCAAGGTTCTGAGAGACAGGCAGCTAATCCCAAATTTCTTATTTTTACTGGTTTTAATCACCAAAATTTACTTTCAGAAGTCTTACAGCTAGTTTATCCCATTTCTCAGCTAAGAGTGGGAATGACATCTCCCAGAATCCAGTTTCCTATTTTGTTCCATGTTAGAACTGTACAAAAGAGGAATTAGTATAAGATGTGGTGAGAGGGTTAAAGTGAAGCCACTGTGCCCAGAAGGTGGTTGCTGGGAGGCTGAGGGAGGAGAGGTGGCTGTGGCAAGTCCTGGCCGGGTCTTCTTTCTCTACACTTCTTTTGCCTTTCTTGCCACCTGCTGGTCTTTGCATAAACAGCAGGCCGGGGCTCCTGGTGACGCCTGCTGCAGGCATTGGGGGCCATTGGTCAGACTTGGTTTTCCTTAGATTTCTCTGACACTGCAATTTGTCTACCATATTGGCACTGAAGGTGGGCTGCCAATAGGGACACCTGTTTCTCTGATTTCTGTGTCCTTCCAGACCTACAGTTCTGCAGCTCTTCTCCCAACTGTGTTTGGACTAATTCCTGTATAAGTACTGTTTTTCCATACGGAGTGTCTTTGTTTTCCTACTGATGCACTTGAAGCTTTCAGTGTTCTGCCATTTTCATCACATCCCCCATGTCTTCTCCCCAAATTGCAAACTACCCCTCCAGCTAAAGTTATACCTAAAGTAAGATTAATAGGCTTAAGCTCTTAAGATTCTCTAACAAGCACCAGTGACATGTTTTGGCTGCTTGCCATTTGTTATGTGGAGTATGTTGCTGTGTATGTACTTACAAATCCTGGTGTGGTAGTGATACTGGTGAATGATCTTAGAAGACCCTGATCAAGTCTTGATCTCAGGTCCTTGGAGGCCAGAACTAAGAACTGGATGGAGACACATAGATTTCAAAGTAGAATTTTATTGAGCGAAAGCAGGAAAGTACACTCCCCAAGGAAGCGGGGTGCGGGTCTGAGTGAGGTGGCTTAAGAGCAACACGTGTAGCTCAAGAGTACCGGTACCATGGTTTGAATGGGTATTTTACACTACAAGGGGTGAGAAGGCAAGATTTGGGTGGTACTCAGGAGTGGCTTTTGGTGATTGTGTATGTAATTCAATGAGATGCAGTTATTCATAATTTGGGGCCCTTTTACACACACCCATGTCCAGATGAAAATGCAATTTCAAAAGGATGATTGGGGTGTTCTGGGTGGACCTAGATCACCCTGTTCCCCATGAGACGATCTGTGAGGTCACCTGTTTCCCATGACTTGATTTGGGTACTTTCCGTTACTAGCTTGCCTCAGTAGCAATGTATTTCTGCCTTTTCAACACAAAGCTGGGTGGCTATGTGACCACTTCTGTCCATTAAGTCCTGTGTGCCATGATTTCTTTGTCAAACACTTTTCATTGTGAGACACTCCAAAGCCCTTTTTTGCCTTCAGTTATAACTAGCAGTGCTCACAGTAGATATCCTATTGGCTTGGGTCTATGATGGACAGGAAGTTTTGAGAAATAAATATTAAGGCATAAATCCTAAATCAAGGCCAGCGCTGTAGCTCAGTGGCACAGCACTGGCTTAGCATGCACTATGCCCTTGGATCCACCCTCACACAGCAGCCCCTTCCAATCACAATCTCAAGGGCAGTTTATTACTGCGATGTTAACAATCTGTTCTGATTTAACTTCCACAAAAACTTTTCTTGCAAAACAAAGTGTGTGGTGGTGGTAGTGGGGGAGTTAGATGAACTACAAGTAAGGATCTGTAGACTTCAGGGGAACATTTTTAATGAAAATGAGTTCAATTGGCAAGAGTTCAAGGACTACAAACCTGTAACAAGTGGTTACATAAAAAAGAGGCATATTTGTCTAATTGTGTGGTTTAGTGGATAGGCGCAGATACAAGTTTGAATTCCTGAATTCTACAACATAGCCTCTAGTTAACCTAGTTGGAGGCTCAAATCCCCTTCCTATAAAATTGGCACAACATAGAACACAGAAGGAAATCAAATTATGAAAACTTGACAGGAAGATTTTTAAAATGGTAGCGGTCATAAGTTAAAAACTGGCTGACAATACATATCAAATTATAGAATCACTGTCAGTTCTCTTTTTTTTTTTTGCAGTGCTGGGTATCTAGCCCAGGGCCTTGCACATTTACTTCCAAGCCACATCCTCAGCCCTACTCATTTAATCCACTGAAGGCAAACACAATTTTCTTCCAGTATTTGGTTGAGACTAGTTATCCCAAAGGTAATGCAGAAACAGTAAGTGTCAGATGCTTTTAAACCAGTCTTTAATTTTCAATTCAGGTTTAAGGAGGAACATATACACAAACATCAATTCAAGGAAAATCAAGAATGTGGAGTATAAACATGTATGGCAGATGCTACTCCATGTACTTTTAAAAAAAACTTTAAAAGAATTTCAGTTTACATGGACAAGAAAAAAAGAATCATTCACTTCCATTTTAAGTATTTTCAAATCACATTTTCTGAAATTCCAGACCGCATTCTCTTAACTCATGGGCTGGGGTTACTTGCTGAACACAATCTGGTGATGCCTTTTCATGTCTTTTGCAATACTCTGGAATGCCTGGCAGACAGTAGCTATTCATCAGATGAATAAAATGACACTTAAAAGTGGGAATCCCAGAGATTGAGATTCTGCAGCCAAGGTGGAGAGGCACATTATCATTTTCGGTGGGCCGGGGGGGGGGGTGGGGATGCACCTGGGGGGCTGCTTCTAGGCCTGGAGCTGTGTTACGGTATGGAAACAAGAGCACTGTCCCGGGATAGCAGGGCACTACAGAATGACTAACAGCACCCATTTCTCCGGTTTTCCTTTTCTCCTTACAATTCAGTGTCACATTGTCTTCAACACTATGGCTCCTACAGAGGCCTGGGCAACCAGTCACTGTTACATCATCCCTCTGAGGAATCCAAACCACATTTTAAAACAGCGTCTATAAGTAACTTCTTGAATTCAAGACCTTGTCATAGCTCTTTAAATTCTCACACATAAGGAATCTTCTGAGATGTATCACAAGTATTCCTATAATTAGCCTTATTTACAAGATACAAAATATTTGGATAAAAAGCAAATCCCATGTTGTACACTGTATAGGTAAAATTTATAAAGTAAAGTGATTCTTTAGCACCATATTTACAATCAAACAACAAATCAATTCTACTTCTGGTAATCATGATGGCACCTCTTATCTCCTAGTAAGCACAAATGCTGTTTTGTAGTAACAGTATCTCATTTAGTAATCACACAAAATTACCTTCAAGAGTAGGCTCAATTTTTTTAAAAGAATAAGAAAACATCTCAGGCTAAATAATTTGCTGCAAACACACACGATCTAAATTTAAAAAGCCAAGCATCTCCACAAATCTGTTCTTTTTGTGTTGGTTAAAACTTAAGAATGGAATATATTAAGTTCTAAACTGTCAGAAGAGAGAGAAGCAGACTCTTTGTAACACAAGGTGGAATTTTACTTTTCAAATCTTTGAGATATTTAAAATATCGTTAACATGAACTACATATTTCAGATTATTGAAAGCTTGATGTTACTCCTGTGAGTGCCACAATCCCACTCAAATTAATTGAAACAAATCCCTAATTAGTGGAACTGAGTTTTTAAAAAAACAAGGCCTTCTTGTTTTACTCCTCAGTATCCAGTAATGAAAATGAACTGGCTCAGGACTTTAAATCTAGACCTTTTTAAAAAGAGTTATGATGAAAAGCACTTACAATAAAGAAGTGCTCATGACTCTCATTTGTCTAAACATAATACAATACTGACTTAATCCTTCATTTGCAAAAAAAAAACCCAAACCAAACCAAAACAAAAAACCCCCACACATTCTTACATCAAATGGCATTAATGGAAGTGCAACTGTTTTCTGCAAAATAAGTTAACTTTAAGCAAAACAATCTCATGATGATAAATGCATTTCATTATTTATTTAGATGTTTAAGCTCTCACACTAAGTTTTTACAAGCTGGTGAACACTGACAATTTATTTCTCCCACAGAACTATAACCACACATTCCCAGACTGTATAAATATATGGTTGAACTAACATTAATACACATCACCATTTTATCAATTACATAATAAAACAAATTATCAAGTATCCAAATATTAAGTTACACAGCTCAAAAGGCATATAAAATATTAGATGTCTGCTCAATTCATTAGCAGAAACCCACTTCTTTTTTTGCAAGAGAGGTTGGGGAGGGAGGAAAAAGAAAAATCACAATTCAAACAAAAAATAAGTTGGTAAACAACTTCTGATAAGCATGAAAAAAATTATAAGAATTTCAGAAATGTTATGATTAAGAATTGTTAAGCTACAATAACAAAGCGTGTCTACCTTTAAAAAATATTTACTAAATTAAAGATACTCTACGTGTTCTGCACAAGACAGAAGCAACGCTACAAAAAATATTTAATAGCCCCTCCCACTCTTTCAGGCTCCCCCTAAAGATGCACCTCAGAGTGCAAACATTAAATTAACTGTAAGGCTTTTTGTCTGGAGACGTTATTAAAAACATGTGCTTCTGTAACAATGAAGATTTTCAAAATGAAGGTTTCCCCTACTGCACAAACAAGACAATATAGAAAGACATTAAATAATCACGAGACTTGGTAAAAATTAAAAAAAAAACAAACCTGATGTATACTGGTACAAACATGGGAGATGTAAACATAAACGAGCAGGCAAATAACCATATAGGCCCTACATGTTTGAAATGACTGAAGGAATAAATCACATAAGATCTAGAGTGTTGCTAGTTCCTGGAAATTTGGTTCTGTATGGTACTAAAAATATACAAGTATTGTGCTGGATATTTTGGCACCTAATCCTTCTAAATCTCTTACATATTGATAAAATTCTGACATGGGGATAGATTTAATGACAAGGCAATGATTTTAGGAAAGGTCAGTTGGGATAAATAAGCACATTTCAGATGCTCAATAGCAGGAATCTTTTGCTAATGGTCATAACCCAAACCACTCTTGTCAAGTGTGGCCTGGTAAAACTGCTTTTCAATACTCCTACGGAAGTTCGACTAGACTTATTCCCCAAGCCAATGTCCACTACTATGTACGACAAATTAGGTCCATCTCAAGTTCCATTTGCAAGGCGATGGCATCAGGCACCCCAGTTTTATTGAACGCAACAGTTGTTTCTATGACCATTGGAGTCTTTGAAGCGCAGCCGCATTTTAGGACGGTATTTCTCCAGATACAAAAGTTGCTTGCTGTTAAAAGCTCCACGCCGCTTTCTGGAAGACAAAACCAGTTACCACGACAGAAGTTAAAAGGAAGTTGCTTCTGGTGATAACAGTGATGACAACAAAAGCATATTCTGCAGCACCACACATTCACCTGGTAGTTTTGATTATTACTGTCAACCTTTGAGACTTGTACATTTAATTATATTTCAGTTATACTTCAAAAAATGCAAATTAACAGGTAATATATTGAATCAATAATTAAGGCAAAACCAAACTGCAAATACTACTACTGGATTAGAATCTTAATATTTTAATCTTAGAAATTAATCAAAGGAGATTAGTCTTTATTTTTTGGTTTTAACCAAAACCAATCTTCAAAATGGAACAATCAAGCCAGGCTGGTGGCTACTGAGGAGGCAGAGATTAGGAGGATCTCAGTTCAAAGCCAACCCAGACAAATAGTTCTTGAGACCCCATCTCGAAAAACCCTTCACCAAAAAAGGCTGGCAGAGTGGCTCAAAGTGTAGCACCTCCCTCCTCCATTGCAAAAATTTGTAACGTAGTTAAACTCATTGGCAATCATCAAGGAAACACAAGAGGTTGCAAAAAGAGAACCATTACTTACTGTCTAATGAACTGCACTGCATCTTCGTACTTCATTCCACCTTCAATTAATGCTAGGGCAACGAGCACTGGAGCTCTGGTGAGGCAAGAATTTTGATAAAACAGTTTTTCAAGATCTGGAAAACTCACTGCTCCAAAGAGCCCCAAATCCAAAAGTATAATTAACAGTCATTCTATTTAAGTGATACCTGCAGTTCAACACTGATCTTACATTAAAAAACAGAGAAATCTACAAAGTATCAGTGTTTTCACATCAACCAGATTTTTACCTAGAGCCGATTTAAATTCTCTTACCTCCCAAGGCCTGCAACACAATGCACAGCAATACAACAGCCAGGTTCTTCACGAAATTTAATCTTCACAAGACTTAACCAGTCATCAACAATCTGGTTGGATGGTGGTGCACCATCATCAAAAGGCCAATCCTACATAGAGAGTATTTAAATATCTTAGATCTTCAGTGAGTTTAATCACCTGTTTCACTAATCCCCACTGTCAATGGCTAAACACTCAATCATTATAAAGACTTTCATCATGTTAAAGTTTGCTTAGTTCTCACCTTTATTTGAAAAATAAGATGTTTACCAGCTTAAATTTGAGTCCTGTGATTTTAATAAACTCTTGTGGCATCGTATCATAAACAATACAAACTATTAAATGTGCATGTATGGAAATGCCACAATGAAACCCCTTTGTACAATAAATGCTAATAAAATGGGGGAAAGGGTAACACTTACGAGAACATGGATGCCTTCTTTTTCCACAAGAGTAGTATCATAAGTTGCCTCACAAACTCTTACTATTGTAGTAACTCCATACTTCTTAAGTTCCTGGACAAAATAGACATTAAAAAACTTAGTGAGGTCTACATAACTAAATCACTATTGTTCAACATTTGCCCTTTTTTCTGGGCAGAACTGAGGTTTGAGCTCAGGACTTTGTACTTGCAAAGCAGGTGCTCTACTGCTTAAGCCACACCTTCAGTTCATTTTGCTCTGGTTGTTTTGGAGATGGGTTCTCATGGCCTATATTTGCTCAGGCTGGTGTGAATCTCGATCTTCCTGAGCTCAGCCTCCCAAGCAGCTTGGATTACCAAAAGCATGAGCCACTGGCACCTGGCAACACTTGTCATTTTGGTAATTTCTGATCAGCGGGTATGCTGGTTAACAGCAAGTACAGGAAGAATGATAGTTTACGTATACACATTTATACATGTATGCTTAACATGGAAACAGATCCTGTCTTAATATCAGAACAGAATAAAGGGAAAAAAGAATGTTGAAATAACATGTACTTTAAAAAAAATTCTGTGGCCCCTCATATACTAAAGTTTATAGGCATGGTAACATTGGATAGATTGGGATGCAACACTAGCAAAAGGGGGGTAAAAATCAGTAAGTACAAGGAACTATAACTCAAGGAATCACTTATAACTAATCAAGTAACTGACCTGACTCAATTATACTAGTCACTTAAACTTTTACTCATTTGATGAACAGCATTTAACTATATCCCAAAACTCTCCAATGCAGAAAGTATAGTTTAGAAAAGCCACCTATCGTTTAAAACTATAGGTAGAATGCATGTTTACTAATTACAGCTCTCTTAACAACATAGCTTGTAATTAAAACAAAACAAAACAAAACAAGTATATATTGGGCACCTGGCTACTGAGGAGGTAGAGAAGAGGTTGGATGCCAGCCAGGGCAAAAAGGGTAGTGAAACTTTATCTCAACAAAAGAAGATGGGCATGGTGGAATACCAGCAAGGAGGCAGGCCAGTGATAGGTAGGAGGATCAGAAACTCAGTCTAAGGCCCACTAGAGGTAAAAGTGAGACCAGGGCCAGGCTGTGGTACAAGTGGCAAAGCGTCATGAAGGTGCTTCCCTATGATCTAGAGCCTAGTTACTGTCTTTGAACACCTGCAGATACTTATGGAATAAATTGATACTCAGCACCACATTCCTTCCAGTGCTTAGCAAAAAGAGATGGGTAGGAAGTGAGACATGCTGCCAACAAAAAGCAGGTTTACAAGGTGAAAATTGGATTCTGAGCATCAAAACGGGTCCAAGACATAAACTTTAGTTCATAGTACTCAGGTGAAGTGCATGGAAAAAAAAAAAAACCCACAAATGCAGTCTTCTCCTGTGAATTTCTTTCTTCCAAGGCAGGGATATATTGTTACTGTGCACATGTAATTTAAATTAAACAAACTCAAAGGCAGGACGAAGCAGGTCTTCAGCTATAAATCCAAACTCAAGTTCACATCCTTCTACAATGTGTGACAGTTCACCTATGACCTAACCAACACAGTAATACTCATTTCTGGGAAATGAGCAGCAGGCACACCACGTCATGCCACCTAACATCTTCTGACACATTTACTTTGATAGCCCCACTATTATGTGAAAATTAGCTTGAGACATTTAAGAAAATCAAGTATTACCTCTATAAATTTGTTCAAGGTTGCATTGGTTGGGTTATGTGTAATAAGGAATCTCATGTTCTTGTACGTGACTTCCACAGGAGCAGGGCGGTTCATTCGAGCCATGTTAATTTAGTTAAAAACACTCAAGAGGGTTATGAAAGAATTTAAAAGTTGAATACAGAAATGATGCAGAAACTGAAGTCTACTTCAATATACTCCACTTGAAATTCTCAGTGCTTTGCATATGAAATTGGGAGCGATGGTAAATGAAATAACTCCTAAAGAGAAGCAGCAACTCTTCAATCCAGTAATACTGAGGCAATAGAAGGAAGGGCACTGAGCTTTACCCCATCCAGGTCACAACACTTGTAAAAGGCTTCGCAGATTTCAAAACACTTCTGTGTCCAGGTTAACCACTCTTATGGGGGCTTCTTGGTGGAGTAGTAATGAGTTTCTACAGTTCACTTGTCTGCATAGAGGTCGTGCTGTGCCTGGCAGTAATCTCCACTGCCCTTCAGAAACTCCATAAATGTGTGACCAAGAACACCACAGAACTGCTGTTTAGAAGAAAAAGAGAAAAAAGTTATTTTCCACTTAAATGGAATGTGCTATGCTTTTTTTACAGTATTCAAGTACACATCTTCTCCAAGTAAAGCCCAGGCTACCTTTCAAATTTTACTTGAATTAAAAAAATCCAACTGAGTGATTGGAGACTAAATCAATGAACATAAAACAAGCAGTCAGAAATCCATCAAATGAAAATTACTAATCTATTACAGAAAATCCTTGTAACATCTGGTGAGATTCCCTTATGGGTGTTTTACATTGTTATCAACTACATGTACAATGTCCTGTATCGATCTGTCCGACTTAGAAAACATCTATACACATTAATAGGAAGTTGACGAAGTTCCAAGTCTGAAGCCATTACCCTTGCATAATTAACTCCTATACTGAAAATGATTTAAGTTTCTTTTCAGATTTTTTTTCTTTTTCCTAGTTCATGATAGGGGCGAGAAGAGGTCAGTTGTATGCTCTTTCTAGTAAGATAACACTTCTCTATGTAATCGTTCAGTAATTTTTTGCTTTTGAATCTTAGTTTTTAAAGTTATGTTTAGGTTACAACCACATCTTCATTTTGTACTTTCCATTAGCTCTCAAGTTCCAAAACACACTCAAGAAGACTTTTAAAAAGCAAGATAGTTCCAATAGGCTTACAGCATTCTACCTAGAATAAAATTAATCAGCTCTCCATAAAAATGATGGTACTCCTTCAAACACTTAAAACTATCTTTAACCAATACATCCTTTTCTGAAGGGACCAGTTTTCAAAGTGCTTACATACACATCTCATTTTATTAGCAACCTATGCATTTATCACTCTTATTTAATAAGTGAGGAAAATGAGTCTGTAAATGATCTAAGTAACTTACGTAAGTTTAAAAGGAAGTAACTGTCACTTGTAACTATAAAAATAAAATACCCATAATTTTAATAATATCCTTTTGTATTTTAAAAACATTTCACTTATCAGACCTAAAACTGAAATCTAATTCAGACAAGAAAAAGGGTTAGGAAATCTCCCTTGACTTTTTTTCCTATTAAGTCTCAAAATCAATATAGCTACTAGGGCCATAAATATAAATGAGTAATACTTTCCCCACATTCCTTTAAGCCCTAGGTCAGATTCATGACAATATCAAACATTAAATGAATATTCACAGGACACTGCAGAATATATACATAGAAGGCATTTAAGTTAATGTTCATCCACAACCAAGCAGTTTGTGTACTTAGAAGTGAAGAAGGGACAGAGGAAAAGCATGGGTAATAAGAGCACTAGTGACAGCCACTGGCCGGGAGACTGTATTCAAGGATAAATTACTAAACAAAATAAAATCTTGTAACAAAAAAAAGGATTCCACTAATATTCCATCCTTAAATTTAAGCACTTAAAAGACTTAAAATTAATACATCTGCTTCCATTTTCATCCCTTGAGAGTCCACACCGGTCAGTTTCTAAAAGTTTGCTACATTTCAAGAATTCATATGGTGAAGTCCCTGAGTTCAAACCTCAGTGCCGCCAACAAAAACAAAAAAGTCCAGTCTACATTGAGTCATTTAAAAGGTCCCATAAACAAAATTGTATTAAGTTTGTTGAAAGGAGTCCTCAGAAGTTACTTCACTTACTTGCCAGCTGGGTTACGAAAATTGGTGTCTAAGTCATCACTAAAGACATCACTTACTACAGTGAACAGAAACAACAGCTTCACTGTACCTCAAATCCTAAGTCCTTTGGACATACGATTGAGGCCACTCTGCCAATGATACAAAATTCACTGAACACATTCGCAGAATTTTTAAGCAGTCTCACCAGGAAAGCGGGTGGGCACTACTTACTTTTACCGCAGCCACCCGGTGGCTGGGAGACTCTCCACCAAAGCACCCTCGGTCTGCTCAAGACAGCCCGGACCTAATCCCTCCTCCCAGGAAAAATCTGGTTGGGAACCAGGAAGAGACCTTTTCCCTCCTCCGTTTCGGCTGCTCGCACTCGCAGTACACAGCAGGTGACAGGGAGCAGCGTCTGGGGTCGGACTGGCAGTGTGCAGACCACCTTGTCACTGAGGGCTGGCGAGTGTGTCCCGGGCACGCTTAGGTCTATCAGATGACGGTGCACCCAGCACCCGGCACGTGCGGGACCCTCCAGGCCCGGAGCCAACAGAACGCGCAGAGGGCGAGCGGCCCGGCGCTTCCGCCCACTGCGCCCCTGGACCGCCCGAGTTCGGCCACAACCCCGACCTCCGCCGCCGGCTGCACGCGGGGCGCGGCCACCAGCCGGGCTCCCGGGCCCCGGCCTTCGGCCTGCCCGGGGCGAGGACGGTGCCGGAGGCGGCGCAGAGCGCTCACCTGCAGGCCGCCCGCCGCCCCCCGCGGGCCGCAGTCACGGGTGCGCGCCGCGCCTTCCGCGGGCCGCGGGCGAGGCCATCTTGTCTCCGGCTGCGGCCCGTCTGGCCCGCGCTCCGCGGCCGTTACCGCTGCCCGTCCGCCCACCCCGGCCGGTCCCGCAGTGGCCGCGGCCCGCGCCTCTTCCCGAACAAAGGCCCCGACGCCGTGGGCCGGCACGGGGGCCGCAGGCGGGGGCGGCGGTCACAAAGGGACCTCTGCCGCCCGGCCCGGCCCGCCGCTGCGGCGACCGAACCACCCCTGCCCGCAGCTCCGCGCCGCAGGCCCGCCCCGCGCCCCAGCCCACTAGGGACCCCCGAAGCCGCGGCCTCGCGGCGGAAGGCGGCCGCCGGGCTCCGAACAAAGGCGGCGGTGGTGGGATGGGGGGGCGGCCGCCCTCTCCAGTCCGCGGCGGCGGGGCGACGACTACTCACAGGAATATGTCTACTCATTGAAGATTGTGGCCTAATCATACAGCCGGTCCCGAGGCGGCGGCGACACAGGCGGCGGCGGCTGCAGGGAAGAGGGCGGCGGTGCTCGTCGCGAGGCGGCGGCGGAGGCGATGCGGGCGGTGGCGGGGCACCAAGACTACCATGCAGTGAGCGGCTCCGCGGAGAGCGCGTCGCCGAGCCGGCCGCAGCCCCAGGAGCCAATGCGCGCGCCGCGGCGCCCTTGCGTCACAAACCCACCTTTTTATACCCGGCGCGACGAGCGAGCCCCGGCAGCCAATCGCCGTCCGGCGCGGACGAACGTGGGCGGAGGCCCGCCCCCGCCGACGTCACCGCCCGGCGGCCGCCGCCGGTGCGAACCGGTTGATGAATGGCGGAGTGCGGCTGCTGGAGCATCCCCGAGGGGGGGCGGGCGGGCCAGAGGAGAATTGCGGGTGCTGGGATTTGGGGCGGGAAGGGTGGGATCTGCAATCTCGCCCAACACGGTAGTTGCGATCATTAAGGCCACGTAGGTGCGCACGTGTCACGCGGGGAGGCTTGAAGTTTGCCTCAAACTTAAATGCAGTCCCTCTAAGCCGTAACCGCATCGCGGTCTCCAACCTTAAGTCGCAATCTGAAGTCCTGTTTGCCAACGGTTTACCTTGGCACCTGCCCCGTGGGATTCCGCCAAGTAGCATTTATGTCGTAGGATCACTGTGCCCGGTGACTCAACAGCTCGGATGCCCGGGCCCTGGGCTGGGACAAGATGGGTTCCTGTCGCCGGGGACGCTAGGAAACGCAGGCAGCTTCCGCAGGGGTCACCCGCGGGGCAGGGGGCGCGACCCGCCCGCCATGGCCGTTTTGGGGCGCGCCTCCGACCGGTCTGCCGCCGCTGCGGTGGCTCCGGGTGGCATCAGGTCACAGCGTCCTGTGCCCCGCTGCTCACGTGGGCTGCCGCAGGTAGGGTTAACGCTGCTAAAGGAAGCGGTTTTAAACATAGCCTTCGGTTCTGTGAAGCTGCCCTTTTTGTTCCTTTTCAGTCTGCTGTCGTCTAAGGGAGGCCCCTGGGAAGTGAAGCCTTGTTGCAGCTGAGCTGTGTTCTAGGAGGGCAACTTTTTTCAGTCTGAAAGCCTTTCTCCTTCCTCAGTTGTCTTCTTACCGGCCTTGAAGAACTGTCTCCTAACAGGCCGTTTTTCCTGAGCCTTAGGTGGGGAAGGCTCTAGGGATCTAACTGTCCTCCCTAGTATACTGCAGAATTTAAGGATCTTCTAGAACTTCTATTTAGAGACTGCTTCCATAGTTAGTCAACGCTTTTTATTTTTTTGTGGTACTGGGAGCTGAACTCAGGACCTCCACCTGTACTCTGTCACTTGAGCCACTCCGCCAGCCTCAACTTTCTTAAGCAAATATATTTATTCTATAAGGGTAATTGCTTCTGAAAAAAATTAGGCCAGACCTTCAGAGGAACAACAGTCAACTCATATTCATTTAAAAAAAATTGCTTGCTTAGGGATTCCTTTAAGTCAAGGAACACTAGAATTTAAGACATTATATCCTCCTACAACTAAATACAAAAGGATTAGGTTTATAAATAAGTCTCACAGGAAGATTTAGAAAAAAATTTGGAATGGTAAGTTGAAGTTTAGCAGACCAGGAGATGCAAGTCACAGAGAAAAGAAGACACTTCATTTTATAGAAATTAAAAACTTCTGCTGGGTGCCTGTGGCTCACACCTGTAATCTTATCTACTCATGAGGCAGAGATTAGGAAGCTTGCTGGTTCAAGGCTAGCCTAAGCAAATAGTTCTTGAGATCCTATCTCAAAAAATCCTTCACAAAAAAGGGCTGGCAGAGTGGCTCAAAGTGCAGGCCCTGAGTTCAAACCCTAGTGCTAAAAAAAAAAAAAAAAGTTCTATATGGCAAATGAGTTAACTACTATTTCACATTTGGAGAAAATATTGATGGATACATTGTGGGCCTCACAATCCACAGATCCTGTAATTACCACAAGCAGTGCTGGCACGAAGTATTCAGTTAGCTGTGCTCATTGAGCTCTGGAAGTCTCACTCTCTCATGATAGGTACCACCGTGTCTTACTTTAAAAAGGACATAGTTCAAGGATGAAAAATAGAGCCTTCTAAAGAGATAGCCAGTCCACTGAATTCTCACAGGGTAGCCATAGGCCTGCTTCTGTGGCAGCTGCCATGTTATGTCCTATGACACAGTGGTTCACTGCTGTGCTGAGGGTATCTGTTCTATTAGTTCAGTAGTTCTGCTGATTTTCAGAGACCAGGATCCATCCCAGCATTGGTCAGGAGATCCTAGGGGTCTGAGGGTTCACTAACCTTCACAGATTTGCACTCAGCTTATTTGCAGAGGATCTCAAAACAGACTTGCAAATAGTTCAGACATCAAGAAGAAAACACCTACAAATCCAATGCTTACTCTAAACTCCACAAGAAACCCCAAGATGTGTGCTTTTCTCTCCTGCTAAACAAGATGCCCCACTGCTAACAAAACCTGTGTCCTTAACCTCATCAAGGTAGGCAGGACTTTTCATCAGCATATTCAAAATATAAAAACCAATAGCAAGGTATGAAAGATTATAAAAACATAAGATCCTTATGTGAGGTGAGAGACTGCAGAAGACAACAAATCAGCAAATCCTGATGAAGAACAAAGAAATCCTTACAAGGGCAGTGGACCTCGTAAACACTGATTCAAGTATACAGGAGGATCGAAAATTTCATCCTTTTCAGTCTCCTCTGATTAGTTGAGGTCATGAGGGAGTCTGATAACATTTATAGCAAAAGTATGACCACTGCAATGGTACAATACCAACCTAGAAAGAGACATTAATTTGCAAGGTATATGATATATCAAGCACATTTAATGGGCAAATACCCCAATGGGCCAAAACCCGGTAGGTGTTTGAATACTAGTGAAGAGGGTGAGCTCCCTTTTCATATATAGGAGGTGTTTTAAAAATCCAGGTATATAGTCATGGTTGCTATCAACATTGTTAAAATTTGTTTTCAGAAAATTTGTTGGGTTATAATTTGTGATTAAGGTAAAAAGTGTGTAGTAAATTTCTATGAGTATATAATTCAGTGTTTAAATGTTATTCAAAACTAAAGCATGCTCAGTGGCAAAGAGTAACTTAATTTCTTCCCTTAAGACATTATTTTATCAAGAGCCTTTTAGACAAGGTTAAGTGAATAATAAAAGCACAACAGTGCTATATCATAATTTCTATAGCAATTCCAGACACAGCAATTTCCAATCAAGTTTTCCACAATAAGTCTCTCAAGGAATCTAGCCTAAGAATAGAGTCCAAAAGCCAATATCTATATGTGGGCTACTGTGTTTCATAGATATAGAAACTTTCACTTACCCAACAGGGTACTATAGATCTATAAATTAATACAGCTGGCTCACAGTAAACTTTACATCATCATATTCAACCATTAGAGATATTTTCTTCTCTATAGATTTAAGCAGTTTTTGAATAACTTAAAGTAATTGTCTTCTTAAGACTATTTCTCTTTAGTCTTTGTAATGTCCATTTTTTCCTATACTTTTTTTTTTAATGCTTTTTGAGATGTTCTGACTGTGTAGCTGAAGCTGGCCTCAAATATCCTCCTGCCTCTACCTTTCCAGTGCCGGCATTACAGGTGAGGCCCCCTCAGCTGGCTTTTCCCTTTACTTTTCATACCTAATTTTCTTTCTTTTTTTTGTAGCACTGGGATTTGAATTCAGGGCTTGCTAGGCAGGTACTCTTACTTCCTGAGCCATTCCCCCAGCCCTCTTGCCTAATTTTAGTCAAATTAAATGTAAGCAAAGTTGCCTAGGTAGTGTTCAAATTAGATGAGAATGTGTTTTCACTTTAGTAATTCTGCCACTTTATAGTGAATATTTGCTTCTGTGGGAGCTCAGTATGGGTACTAAGATATGACATGCTGGAAGAGACATTTCCTTGGGACACAATAAGGAGCTGTGAAGCCATAATCAGAGCATTTTTATAGCATGCCATTATAACTGATCCAGAGTCTGGTACCTGGAGAAATCTAACTTGAGAAAACTCTTATTTTCAGAAAACTTGGTAAAATTTCTCTTGCTGTTCTGCAACCTGAACACAGACCACTTGAGGATTGGAAATCAGTAGGGACACAGTTTCCATGTGATTATCTAGAACATGTTGAATTATGCCAGTCTGAAGTGAGGCAAAAATAGCTTAAGACAGGAGAGTTTAATTTGGCTAGAGAGAGCGAGTGGAGTGTAAAGTTTAAAGGTTGGTTATGCATGTTGTAGCAAAGCTGTCACTTGACAGGTTCAATTTACAGAGCTGGCATTTAGGCTGTAGATAATCCAGACAGACACTGACCTAAGCAATGTGACTGGAGCAAGCCTTATGTAAGGAGAAATGTTCTTGAGCAGTTTCTTGCCAACATAATCACATTTGGTTGACAAAAGCTACAATAGTCGTGCTTTCTCCCCTGTCCTAATGCAGTTGCTTTTTAACTGGGCATGTTCAACAAACATTGCAGTTGTAGTGTCTCCTATAGTTCATGAGTATAGAAGCCTTTTGAAATTCCTTCTGTTTAAAGATAGTGGTCACATCATGTATTTCTTGAATCCCCAGACATTAATATACACCCATAGATAACCAATATTTGTCTGAGTATCATCAAGTCATTTTCCACCTAAAATCCTTCTAGGGCATCCCACTCCCACTTCTCCTAATTTTTCTTTGCAGCTTGCTTTCAGTCTCTCAAATGTTTGACAATGGCGTTCACTGGGGTTTTGTCCTAGGGCCTCCCACCTTTGCCCTGTGCTCTCCCTCGGTTTTAATCCCCTCCCATACTTTAGCAATCAACCTTTTCTTCCTCTCCTCCCCCACTGCCAGCATTTATTTGTTAACTACCTAGCCCAAACCAGGCACTCTGATATCATGTTCAGCCACATAAGCATGGTCTCTGTCCCAACAAAACTTTTATACAGACAAGGAAAGAGGTTGAAAAAAAATAATTGGAAGTTCCTAAAAATTGTGTTTTTAAGTTTTCAGAGAACAAGTTGTCTTGATAGATAACTACAATAGTAAGACTGGCTAAAATTTGTGGTGCTTTTATTTTCCAAGCTATGTGCTAAGTACATGTGTATTTTTTTGTTGACACTGTTAGAATAATCAG